CAGGGTCTTCCCATTCCAGTCTACCCTCAACCTCAGCCACCCTGGATCAAGGCACTTGTATGTACTTGGTGTAAAGCTAGGAGTCCTCAAAACATGAGTCTTTGCCTATCTCATGTGTGTCTAGTATCACAAAGTATTGAATTGCTACTGTGCCTCCACTGGTCCTCAAGTAGGTTTTCGTGAGGGCTGAGACAGTTAAGAACAGAATCCTCTGGTGTATTTCAGAATGGTTTGGATGGTGGTTTGACCTCCAAGGGTTCATGTGTTTAAATTTGGTCCTTAATGTAATGGCATTAGAAGGTGATAAGACCTTGGAGAGGAAGACCTGCCTTTAATATGGGCAGAGTCTTAGCGGACTTGATTGGCATGTGAGTCAGTGGACTGAGAGAGTAGACCTGCCTTCACTGTGGGTCATGATGATGATGATGATGATGATGATGATCATTCAACTGACTAGCAGGGTGGAAGGGCCAAACAGGGAGTGAAAATGTTCATTTCATCTCTTTGTGTCTCTGCATATGTCTGCTGACCAGCCTACTTCTCCTTGCTGTGTTGTGATGTAGCACCATGTGGTCAACTGCTAGACTTGTGAGCCAAATAAACCTCTGTTTATTGTAAATCACCCAGTCTCAGGTATTTCTGTGTAGCAGCACAAAACCAGAGTAATACAGGCTACTTTTTTCCCTCCTGCTGGAAAGTAAAGATTTTTTTTTCAAGATTATCACTGAAGATCTGGTAGAGCTCTTAGATGTGTTGGAGACCCTCCCCCCCATGACTGTGTCCCCCTGAATTTTTTTTTTAACTCTCATCTTGCTCACCTTGAATCTTCGGCAATTTGTTAATTACAGTTCAGGTTTTCCTGACTTGGTACTGATTTTGACAGATGTTTCTGCTGGTCATTTTCTACTCTGATAATTTGTAATCTCTTATTTCTAGGCTGCTTCTCCAGAGAGTTAGATGATGAAATTACATCTGATTAAGAACCACTGTTAGGTTTATAATAAACATCTTTACTTTATCATAGTGTTACTTCAAATGTCATAGCATACCACCTTTCCTGTAGCTTAAGAACATTAAGATAGTATACTTTTCTTTTTTCTTCTACTTTGAGATATTTTCATGTACTTTACTTTTACATACGTTATAAAGCTCAGAGTTCATTATTTTGGCTTTAAACAGTCATTTAGCTTTTAGTAATTTTTTTACTTATAGTGTTTTTCTTTCTCTTTTTCTTGTTTAGATTTTTTTTTTTTTTTTTGTCATAGGGCACATGAGCTTCCCAGAGACAGAAAGAAAGGGAAAGTAAAAATCCCTACCTGGGGGTTGGCCGCACTACAATATCTTCATTCTTCTCTTGGGTTTTTGGGCAAACATGCACATGTGCCCAGCTTGTATTTTTAAGTCGCTGAGTCTGGCACTCAAACTTTGGAGTTGACTATGTGGGATCCAGCACCTTAACCACCTCACTACTTTTATACTTTTATACAGATTGCTTCATACAAATCCAAATTCCTTCTTATAGTTTTCTTTTGCCTGAAGAATTTAATAACATTTCTTACTAATGCAAAGTTTTTCATCTGTTTTTGGAAGAGTTTTTATTTGGAAATTCTATACCCAATGAAAATACTGGTTGATATTATTTTTCTTTGGGTTTTTAAAATATATCACCCAGTTATCATTTTAATCGTGTGACTTCTGATGAAACATTTGCTATCATCCTAATCTTTTCCCCTCTGTATTTAGTGTGTTTCTTTTTCTGCCTGCTTTTATAAAGGTTTTTATTTATTTATTTAGTTTGTTTTTTTGAGTGGGGATCTTAGAGTTAATTGAGCGTATTAGATTTTGGGGTTTACACTGTTCACAGCATTTGAAAGTTTTTTGGCCTTTGTTTCTGTAAATCATGCTTGTGCACAAACACAAGAATATGTGCAGATAGGTGCATGTGGTATACGTATATCCATTCTCCCTCCTATGGGACTGAAATTCCATTCATGTTAATCTGCATAGTATTGTCCAGTGGGTCATTAATATTCTTTTGTATTTTCTATATTTATATCTTTTTTCTCTGGTCACTTTATTTTGGATGGTTTCTATTAATTACCAATTTATTCTGAGTGTTTAAATTGTTACTCATCTTATTCTATGTGATCTAAAATTTTTTAATTAAATCAATCAATTAATTAATTATTTTTAGAGAGGTTTTTGCTATAGGGCACATGCGCTCGCCAGAAAGACAGAGAGAGACAGAGAGACAGAAAGCAAGAAATCATCCCCGGGGGGTTGGCCATGCCGCAATTCCTTCTCAATTCTCCTCTTGGGATCTTGGGCACGCAGGCACACGCGCCCAGCATGCATGAGTTTAAGCCACCCGGGTCCAGGACTCAAACCGCGATTGATTGCATGGGAGTCCAGCGGTCCAGTGACATAGCCATTATACCAACTGCTGGACCCTGGTGTGATTTTTATTCAGATGCTATATATTTAATCTCAGAAGCTTTATTTTATTTATATATATATGTGTGTGTGTGCAGATATGTACATACACACATATGAGTATACATATTTGTGTATATATGTATGTATGTATGTGTGTATATACATATATACATTATGTGTGTGTGTGTGTATATATATATGTATATATATATAAATGTGTGTGTATATAAAACATACATGTAAAGGTCCTCTAATGAATAGTTAGATGACTTGAAATAAATTGAATCATTTTGATACTGGTTTTAAGTTTTGCTAGATGGGTCTGGAGCAACCTTTAATCTTGGTCTAATTTAGCCCTGCTGCTAAGGTGATCTTTTTCTAAGGATTACCAGTATTTCATGTAGTAAGAGCCATTCTGTCTGCTGGGGACACAAAGTATTCCTGGTCCTATTTAAGATCTGAGATTTGTTTAGCCTTCTATTTTCTGGTGCTTCGTTTTCGGCCCTTGGGAAGTTTTCTTTCATACAGATCAATACTCAGTCAAAGACCTGAGGGAAACTTTCTATAGATCTCTGCTTGCTCTTTCTGTGCAGGTTCTTCTATTCCTATATTGTGACTTTCAAATCCTAGTAGCCTTGGCCTCTCTAAACTCCAATCTCTGTCTTCTTAACTCATGAAGAAAGAATTGGAGAACTGTGGGTTCTGACTTTACTTTCCCTACTTTGTGACTTTAAAAATGTTTGTATGGACTAAGGACAATTTTAAGTCTTGCCTATTTTGTTTCTCTTCTTCTTTGGATTGTGTCAAGATATATTCCCTACAGTGAGAAGCCTTTGATTCATATTTTAAAATTTGTAAGTAGTGATTTAAGGAAAGAGGGTAAAAATTGCTACTATTACTACATCATATTCCTAAACAGAAGTTTGCTTGTTTATTTGTTTGTTTATTTATTTGTTGTAATTTCTCAGGTCCAGGACTCAAACTGTGGTTGGTCCTGTGGGAATCAGCACCTTAACTACCACACCATCTGCTTTCCCCAGCAAAAGTCTTTTTGGAATTATTTATTTAATTTGACTTATTCGTTAATTTATTTTAATTTGTCCAGAGAGAGACATAGACAGAGAGAAAGAAAGAGGGCAGTGAGAAAGCAAGCCACCAGGTCCGGGACTCGAACCGTGGTTGGCCATGTGGGAGTGTCTAGCACCTTAACTACCATGCCACCTACTGGCCCTCCAGCAGAAGTCTTTTAATTATGATTTTGTATTTCCTCTGTAAGTTTAGAGGCAATATTGTAGGTTATTTTCTCTGATATGTAAGGGGCCTAGAGGCCTTTGCCACTTTATTTAGGTAATTGTTTTCCTTTATGTCTCCCTTTATCTATAGAGGAAATCATTGCTGGGGAACATTGCAAGTCTCTTCTTTGTAATAGAAAAGATGATATCCTAAAGCAGAAGTGAACAAATTTTGCTTGATGTGTGGCACCATTTCTTAGGATATGCAACAACTTGACCATTGAATTTTCTCCTATTGCTTGCGGCCTTTGGAGTACTCTTCATCTTACGAATTCTCTACCAACAACATTCTCGGATTGTGAATCCATAAGCTTGAATTCTGTTCTGAGAGCCAAACATGCAACATGCTGACTTGGTTGTTTTGGTGTCTAAAAAATTGTTAAGGCAAAATTGACACTTAGATCACAAAATTAAGAAGCATATTGTTGGATGAAAGATATTCAACTTCAAATAATACAAATATAAAATAATTTTGGCTTATCCTAAAAACACAAATAGAAGTAGGTAAGTCATGAGAAAGAGGAAGAAGTTCAATCCATAAATAGTAAACATTGTAGTGGGTAGACATGATAAGATCACATATAAATAAAGTGACCATCTATCCTGTTTGCTGAGAGCCATCTTAATTTATACCTGTTGTGCTGGAAGAATTATTAATAGCTTCTCCCCTCACTCTTTTTTCTTTTCTTTCTTTTTTTTTCGAGAGGTTTTTGCTATAGGGTGTGTGTGCTCGCCAGAAAGACAGAGGGAGACAGAGAGACAGAAAATGAGAAATCCCCACCAGGGGGCATGGCCATGCCACAATCCCTTCTCCTCCATTCTCCTCTGGGGATCTTGGGTGTGAACACACATGCACCCGATATGAGTTTAAGCCACTGGGTCTGGGACTCGAACCACGGTTGACTACATGGGAGTCCAGTGACATAGCCATTATGCTGGTCCCTCCCCTCACTCTTGAAAGTATCTTTGGTTGCATGACTTCATATACATATTGTAATATATATAGTGAATATAACATATATAGTATATATTATTTATACATTTATAATTATATATACATGCACACAGTTTGTGCATACACACACACATAGAGAGTGACTTTATTTAAAAGGAACTTTTTAAAGAACAAAAGGTAACTGTTAATTCCTTGGTTATTGCCATTCCTTGAATGAGATTTACTGTTTATATTGTATTAGAGTTAAATACAATGTAATTATATAGTGTATACTGACTAATACATGTGCTTTTAAAATTTTGGTATGTTTCCTATAGATGATCTCAATGCCACCCACCAACACTGTGTTTTGGCTGGTTCGCAACCTCGTTTTAGTTCCACCCATCGAGTGGCAGAGGTAAGTGTAAATAAAAATGTGATTCACACTTAATTGGATATGACAGAAGCGGTTGAATGAGCAATTTATCATAGAGCTTTGGAAGAATATTTGATAGGAAAATTGCTTCCATTTAACTTGACTGTAGTCTCTGTTTACTTGCTTTTTTAGCTTTGGGTTGTGTTGGAGACGGTTTTAAAATGTGTATTCACAGCATGGGATAAGTATATTTTGCTTCTTGGGTTTATGTTTCTTGGAGACGTAAAATGCAATAGGCGAGTGTTGACTTTAAGAGGTTTTCTTAGTGGATTCTATCTGTCCAGGTCATGGGCAAGAGATGGCCAAAAGGAAATGGGTGGATTCATTCACTTGTGCATGTATTATCTGTAGCTGGGTTGAGATGGTTGAGAGTCTACATTTCCCTTAACTTTTTGGTCAGGCTTCTGGGCATATGATGTAAATTAAGGACAAAGTCATGGTAATGCCAAGGAATTCCTGAGCTTCCAAGTTGTGTTTATAACCCAGATTTTATTACTGAATTCTGCCGCCACATGTGTGGCTGATGGTTTGCTGATCAGCCTAGTTCAGAGAAAGTTAACAAATGAGTACAACCTAAAGTAGTCACTCTGGGGTCCTCTCTGTGTAGTTAAGGTTTCCAGAAAGCAGAGGAATCATTTCAAAAGGGATTACGAGTTGACCTCCTACCCAGGATTGTTATCTGTGTTTTGCTTTTATGGCTTGACTTTTCAGGAAATTGTAGGAGGACAAATGTGAGAAAGTTGGATAGAAGGGATATGAGAAAGGGACAGAGAAGTGCAAGTACAAGAAGTACCAGTCTTGTTTCAATCCGAAGACTAAGTCAGTAAGGTTGCGTCATGTCTTTCAGTAATTTAGTAGCCTTTACTAGTGAAAACTAGTCATGTTGCTATGTGATAGAGAGGGTACGAGTGACTTAAGATTCCAGCAAGCCTATAAAGCTTTCTTTCTTACCTTTCTCCCTTTTCTTATCTTTTCCATTCACTCATTCATTCAAACATTTGAGCGCCTGTTATTATGTGTCCCACAGTCTACGTTTTAATTGAGGAGACAAATATTAATAAAATAAACACAGGAATGATTATCTTACAGATCTAAAGTAGGTTTTGTTACAATGGGAGGACAGAATATTTATAGGACATCTAAAAGTACTTTACTAAAAAATCTCACTTTAGAGGTCAGGTGGTGGCACAATGGTAACACAACCAGATCCACATAAGAAAGGTCCTGGGTTTGTGTCCCAGAACCTTCTGAGCATGGTGGGTGTGAATGAGCCTGTATGCGTGTGCCCATGATGTACACATGTGTCTGTGATTCAGGCCAACTGAAACGGGCTGGATCACAGCATGAAGGCCCTGTTTCTTTCGGTCTGTCTCTTCTTTCTTTGTCTCATGGAAAACATAAATAAACTTAAATTTTTAAAGAGGTTTTTTGCCATAGGTGATGTGTACTCACCAGAGAGACAGACAGACAGACTCAATGAGAGGGAAAGTGAGAAATTGCACCCCCCCCCCAAGGGGAATTGGCCATGCTGCAATACCTTCTCCATTTTACTCCTGAGATCTTGGGCACATATGCACACGTGTTTGGCGTGAATTTAAGCCAACAGGTCCAGGATTTGAACTGTGTTGCCTATGAGGAAATCTAGCAATGTAACCACTCTGCCATCTACTGGTCCCGATAAACTTAATTTTAATTGTTTGTTTTCCCTGTCATATGAATCTATGTTTCCAGATATAACCCTTCTAAGAATTCTGTTCCTGTTGTGTGTGGCTACTTAATGTGTTCTTCTTCCATATTTTCTAATCTAATCTGGAAGAGTAGAGAATCCCTTAGTGCTATGCTCAGAGGGCTGGTACAAAGTAATGAATAAAAAGTGTCGGAGAATATATTCATTAGGGATAATAATCAAATCTACATTCTAAATAGCATAAAGCTTCTTGAATGAGGTGAAGTTATTGGATATGTGGGGATTATGAAGCTTTTAGGACATTTTAAGATAGTTACTGGGAGGAAATAGAATTGCAGTAGGAATCTTGTGATTGGGATGGGATGAAGATGCTTGGGGAATATTGAGTAGCTGTACTTGATTGGATCTCAGGTTTCCAAAGTGGGGGTTGGCAGAGAAGGCTGAGTCCTATATGGAACCAGATTGTGAAAGACCGTGGATATCAGATTAGGTGTTTGAACTTAAGTTGGTTGGCAGTTGTGAGGTATTGATTATTTTTTTTTTATCTTGGTAGTGACATATTGAAGATAAAAATGATAGGGACATCACTTCAACCCATCAGGGTCTGAACGAAGGTAATGGCAGCAGGAAGAAAGGAGAAACTCCCATGAATAATGTAGGAGACATAGTGTGAGTCTTCACAACCGATTGACTTAAGTGAAGAGAGAAATAACAATGTGTGACTAAATCAATTAATTAAATTCCTTCCTGGATGCTTTCTATGTTACAGGCTATAGGATGACTCCAAGTTTCAAGTCCAAGTGATTCAGGGGACGATGTTCCTATTAGTAGAAATAGGTGGTGTAAGACTTCAGGGGAAGACAGAAGTGCAGTTTTGAATAAGTTGATGGAACTGCCAGATGAGCGATCTAGCAGACAAATGGAAATGTGGGACCAAAACTCGTGAGAGAGGGAATTGCTCATCCTCTGTCCACTGCAACAAACACACACATACATACATTCTCCAAAGTAGTCCTTTGTAGTACAATTTGAAAAGTACACTGTAGCCTTATCCCAACCCCCTCCCCCCCCCCACACACACACACACTCTTACAGTGGGACCAGCTTTATACTGTCATTAAGCAGCATTTGCTTTCAAAATATCCTGAAGCTTAGCTTTCCCTGATTAGTTATAGCTGTGTTTATATCTTCTCATTTTTACATCAAATTTTGTACATTAGTTAACCATAAATAAAGAGGTAAGTCTATACAGTGATTCTATTGGGAGAACAGTGTTGACCCAATCTGTGGGTATGTGTTTGTTTTTTTTTTTTCCTTTTTTAATATTCACTATGCTTCAGTTCAATCTGCATGATACTTATTAGGCACATGTAATGGAATGATATGAGTATCTTGCTTTCTGTGTGATAGATCAGCAAATATTGACCACAGGGCAGCTGGCTGTTTTTGTAAAGTTTTATTGGAACAGGGCCATGCTTATTTGTTCATATATTGCTTATGACTGCTTTAGAGCTACAGTTGCAAGAATTAAGTGTTTACAGAGAAAGCAGGCCTGACCAGAGAAAGCTCTTCACCCAAGCCCCCTGCCCAGTCTAGAGTGTGGGAGGAGGGACTGTTTTTGCAACAACACCCCTATAGTCTCACCTCTTAGGTCAGTCTCCTATCACATAATGACTTGATAGGCCTAGGTATATAGGAGCCAAACATCTGAACACTCTGAGGCTCTGGAATTCTCTTCCACACTTACATCAGAGAAAAAAAAAAAAAAAAACAAAAACGAGAGAGAGAAACCTCTCTGTAAATCTGAACCCAAAACTCTCACTGTGGATACCATATTGCTGTAGTAGAAGAGAGAAACTGCCATGTAGCTAATTCAGATCAAAGGGGAGCACAGTTGTACACAGCTACAGAAATCCACTTCAAAAAAGTAGTAAGAAGTTAGTGCATTTCCAGGTGACTAAATTTTACAACAGAGTATCAAGAAATAATGAGAAAACCAGGAAATTACCTCCCTACCCCACCCAGCGAGGGAACACAAGAACTCATCTCTAACAATGGAAAAACCAGAGGAAATCACTGAAATGTCAGCAAAAGAATTCAGAATATTTATCATAACTAAATTCAGTGAGATGCAAAAGAGAAGAGACTACCACCTCCAGGAGATGTGGAAATCATTCTGTGACTTGAAGGAGGAACTGCGTAAGAGATAGACAGCATAAAGAAAAATCTAACAGAACTAGAGACAAAGACTATAATACAAAAAATCAAAACCTCCCTCAAAAATATTGATAGCAGATTTAACTATGCAGAAGATAGAATCTCTGATCTAGAAGACAAAGCCTCTGACTTAGACAAAACCACCAAAAAGAATGAAAAAATAATAATAAAAAAAAATGAGGACAACATACAGGATATACTAGGTATCATTAAACACCCGAATATCTATATAATAGGTATTCCAGAAAGTGAAGAATCTGATAAGGACATAGAAAATCTATTTAATGAAATACTTGCAGAATACTTCCCAAACCTAGAGAAACATTCAGACATCCAGACATGGGAAATACAATGGATGCCAAATAGAATCAACATAAGAAGATCCTCCTTTCTGACACATTATAGCCAGATTGGTAAAAATCAAAGACAAAGATAAGATTCCAAAATGGCAAAAAAAGAAACATCAAGTTACTCACAGAGATTATCCTATTAGGCTAACATCAGACCTCTCAACTGAAACAATCCAAGCAGAGAAGGATTGGGAGAACACATTCAAAACACTAAAAGAAAAACAATTTCAACCAAGAATACTGTACCCAGCAAGATTATCCTTCAAATGAGAAGAAAAAATAAAATCATTCTCAGATGAACAAAACCTGAAAAGAATTTACCAACATTAGGCCAGTTCTTCAAGAAGTGTAATGAGAGACAAACAAATAAAATAACACAAAATAACCAAGAAAATGGCTTACCAAAATGACAGGGATAAGTCTGTAAACATTGATAACATTGAATGTTAATGGATTAAAGTCTCCAATAAAAAGATACAGACTGGGTGAATGGATAAAAATAAAACACAGAAGCCCTCTATTTACTGCTTATAAGAAATGTACCTCACTGATAAAGACATACATAGACTGAAAGTAAAGGGATGGAAAAAATATTCCATGCAAATGGAAATTTAAAAAGAGGCTGGAGTTGTAATACTGATATCAGACAAAATAGACATTAAGACAAAAACTGTAAGAAGGGATAAAGAAAGACATTATATAGTATTAAAAGGGCTAATTTACCAAGA